CGTAGTTGTTAAGTGTCTTGTGACTTCATTTCACACTCATGACTGTTGTAACATCCCCATGATCACATGATCAAAATTCGGATGCTGGAATGTATTTATGATGGTTGCAATGTCTTGGGATCGTGTAATCATCTTTTGCAACCTTCTGAGAAGCAAAGTCAATGGGGAAGCCCTGTTCCCTTAACAACCGTGTTACTAACTTAATTGCACTGATTCACTTAACAACTACGGCAAGAAAGGTCATAAAATGGGGCAAAAATTCATTTAATAACTGTCTTGCTTAACAACAGAAATGGGCTCAATTGTGGTCGTACATCGAGGACTACCTGTAAAAGGCCTGGTTCTTGGAAAAATGAATAACTTGGAAATAGACGCCATAATTTAGCTTTATTGTTTATATATAATTGGATGTAATAGTTAGATAAAGATATAATATTGGTTCTTAGGATGTGAAGAGGACAATAACACATATGAAGCCTCCAATAAAAAGTAAAACAGGACAGATGGTCTCAGATGGTAATCAAGGTTAAAACCATCACTATCTGGCAGAACAAAATTGTTTAAATGCATATAAAACTAATCCAAAGAGAGCCAATCCAGTTCTACAATCAGGATAGAATAATTTAGGTGGCCTTTGTGAAGGAATTAATTGAGTTTTTTTTATTAAACGTGTGTCACAGATAAATAGTATTATGTTCACTGCAGTGATAAATGATATAGATGTGATTTTTATTACATTAACATGTAAATATGTCCATTTTGGAATTTGCATGATATATCTCTGAATGTTCATTTTAAATTGATTCGGTTTATTTTTAACAAAATTAAGTGAGAAAAAAATAAACAAGCAGATAGAAAAGGCCTATAAGAAGTTTAAAATGTATCAATAATTTTTACTGTTAATCTTGAAGTTAATCTCAGAAATGTTGCTAGATATTTTTTTAAAAAAAATCTTACAAATATCACAACAATCATACCAATGAGAAAATATACAACTGTTTTTAGCGGACTGTATATTGGGATGCAATGAATTATTCGATTATAAGTATATTCTAAGTAGAAATAATAAAAGCAAAAAAGAACAATCACTGGGAATTTCCTACATATTTTAATTGCTACTTTTATTTTAATATGAAAACGATAGCTATTCCAGGAATGTTAATGGAACAATACTGGCACTGGATTTGATTATGATCAATTTTAAATTAACTAAAAAGAAGTTAAATTTCCATAGGGCAGTCTGACCAATGTTTACAGTACTTGTAATTGTTAGAGAGATTATCCACTAATTCAGCTGATGAAATTTGATCTAGTTTGTTCTAAGAATATACAAAAGCTTCTAAGGTTTAAGAGATCAAATTTATAGCTGTTGTTCTCTAACATTTATTGAAGAGAATCTCAGACTGAACGGCTCTTGCAGATCTCGGCAACAAAATACAAAGTAAAGTAAAACAGTTGTAGGCGTTAAATAAGACATGTGAAAAATATCAGGGTTGTTTCTCTTCTTTAAATGTACACATTTTCAAACAATTCAATGTTTTATTTTTTTTAAAAACCAATAGCTGAAAAATTCTAAGATAAAGCAGAGATAATTGTAAACACTTAACTATGTTCTGCCATCAATTTCTGCCATACAGCCTTATGAACAAATACCTCATGTAGAAAAAAAGAAGGGAGATAGCAAGGCATTTTATAATTCTATTCCCCAACTTAAAAACTGTCAAAGATATTACATAGAGGGCAAAAATGCAGCTCAGTCTGACTTCACCCAGTGAGGAATAAACTGTACCAGAGGAATGAAGTCTTGCAGTATAGAGGAACAATAGCTTTTCTAATCCTATTGAATTTCTTATGAATTTAATTTTTTTAAAAATGTCTTATCAATTACATTCAAAGGGTTGAAGTCCTATGGCTCATTCTTACACTTTCATCTGCACTCTTAAGTTAATTCCTTTCCTTGTAAACTGCTTTTATTTTTGCCTTTCTAGTCTACCTTTTTCTTACTGGACATCAAATCCGGCTGGCTAACCAGGGAACAACCATGTTCATCAAATAGCATAAACATTGAGATACTTTATTTTCATTTTCTTCTGCACAACTTGTTAACTTTCACAAGACACAAACAACTGCTGAAAGTTTTATATTTGACTTTAATGGAGGAAGGATCACCTTTAGAGGAGAACAATGCCATTATGCTTTTAATATCAAGTACTTCCTCTGTGAACACTTCTAAACTATATGGTGTATTTCATTTAATGTTCTTAACATTTTATTAAAAGTGGTTTTGTATAACAACAGTGGTTATATGTGAACTGTGCATACATTTATTACCGGTATGTTGTTCCCAGGAATTCGGTTCAGATATTTTCTTTCTTTCTTTTTTTTTAAAAAAAAGCCTTTTTCTCATACCTTCATGCTCAGCAACACATTCTCATACTTATGTAGCCTTTTGCATCAATAATGGTTGGGTTTTTGTTTCAATCTGCATAGATAAGTAACAGCTGGAAAGTGCTCAGACCAGCTACTTTAAATCTATTCATTAGAACAGTGCAGGAAGAGCTTTTCAAGAGTTAAAATGTCAATATAGCAGTGAAATGGCGCCTTCTGGAGGACACACAGCTTAAGAGTACTTGCTGAAATCAAAGTCACATTAAAATAAAGCCACAAAATCATGGAAGTGCTGTAAATATTATGGGTAGATTTCACCAATTTACATAGGAAATCGTTTCTGGGTATTATTTAGTCATAAAAATATCCAATTTTGAATTTATATGCATACATGTCTCCTTCGTTACTATGTAAGCTTTAGCAGGACTTGAAGTTGGGAAGACAGGTTGATATGCTTGCCATGGGGTGAATACAGTCAGGAGTTTCCCATATGGATCAGAAAAATAAGGAGTTCCAAACTATGAGTCTTTGGTGTCCATCTGCTGCTGGATTAGCATTTGTCATGGGAACAGATAATTGTGGCTGTGGTGATGATGACGATTTATCCTGCATCATACCCACAAACTTCCCCAACTGGCTTCAGAAAGTCACCTCATGCAGGGAGGAGTAGCAGATGTCTATTAAAAGAGACATAGGAAGCTCAGGGTTGCATAGTTGAAATGTCATAATGTTATCTAGTCGGGCAATGAAATGTCTACACACAAGAAAGCACCGAGCGCACCAAGGACTCCAGATGTCCATTAGCATAAGGTTGGATGTAACTCATCCTCCTCTTCTTGTTTTCAAACAGCACTAGCGCCACTGCTCTATTACCATAGAGACAGCTGTGAATTAAGAAACATTTTCTCATATTAAAAAAAGTTAGCAATACTACATTCTTCCTTGGGGGGAGGGAGTGCAATTAAACATCTTTGCAATGCTAGCATTGGCTGGTTTAAGCCTGGATCTCAGCTAATTCTGTCCAAGATTAGTTTGTCACTTTTAGCGTGAAGCTTTGTCAGTTAGAGTGGCAATATGTTTTGAAATCAATGAAAGCCTAAATTAATCCATAGCCTTTGCCCAATTTTTTCCCTGTATTAATGTCCCCAATAGATCGTGTTGTTAGCTTCATTTAATAAAGTTGCTACTTGCCTGTAGAGTGTTCAGTTGAAGTACTTTTAAAACAAAGAATATGTTTTCTGAGTGATCCCATATGTGCATATGGAGCTCTGCTCAGCTTGACAATTTGTTCCTCCCACATCCAATACTGTCTGTGGACCCTTTTTAAGACTCATGATCCTAGAACTCATAAAATGAGCCCGCAATAAATTAGTGCCTATAAAAATGTTCCTTCAAAATGGAAACGCCTGGTTCCGCTCATAGGCCTCTTTGTGTGTAAAACCAATTTATGATTAACGGCTCTTGAGGTCTTTTTTTTACTTGGAATTGACGGAACTCTGATAATCATTTCCTTCAAAATGTTTAACTATTGGCTTGCCACACTCAAGGGCACTGTCCAAGTAGTGGAGTAAGCAGGAAGATACACATAGTCATTTTGAAAATTATATATTTATGGTGCCGTTGTTGCCAGCAATCTGCCTTAGATCACAGCCCATTCACATTTGGTTTTGCACAAAATAGTCTGGAAGAAATGTTGCCAAAAGAAGCTTCCCACAGAAGGCAGAGAAAAGGAGATAAGAATTGAAAAAGAAGTCAAAAACGTTACTGCCCATAGAGCTGGACGCTGATTACAGGACATGGATTAGCCAGTTTCCCTGGAATATTGGTGCAAAAATGACATTCTTGCCAATTTGCATTTGTGATGTAATGCATTTTATTAACTAAAAAGGAAAAGTTGTGATGTGATGTGACTTTTTTGCACGCAAAGCCAACATATTTTGTTTTTTCAGTTACTCATTCTTTTGTATCTTGCATTTCTGGAATCCACCCCCCCCCCCCCCCCCAATAACAATGATGTGAGATCTGCGCTCCTGGAAGACCCGCTGAGAGTGTAGTATCTTTCTTTTGAAGCTTTTGTGACTTTCAAAAACCTTTCTGCTATGCTTCTCTTCTATATTGTCAGAATTGTTTTGTCAGTAGATGATGTAACTGTACAGTTACTTCATATGTTGGAAAGCAATTTACGCTATCTAGCCTACCTTGAATAACATTAAAGTTTGTGCAAAACTTAAATGAATTTCTGTCCATTTGATAAAATGATCTTAGGTTTAACACTAGAATAAATGTCCATGGACTTGCTTGTATTTGGACTCTTTTATAAATAGGGTATTCTGGGAGCTGCAATTCAGGCTGTCAAAGGCATTTTGTAATGCAAACATGGTAATAGTCATATTCCAACGGAACTGCATGGGTTTTTTTCCAGACAATGTTTGAATATCAACAAATAATACTTTTTAAAAGAGTAACAGAAGTGAACACTATTACTTAATCTAATTTTGCTTGGTCAAGCTTTGTAGACCACATAACAAGACCTTCGACTTCGTCTTCCCAGTGTTCTTCATTTTTGCTTTTTTCCATCTTCTTAGATCCCACGGAAGATTCTTTTGAAGGTGCTTCTAGATAGTAGAAGTAATACAAAATTAAAAACATGAATACACGAATGATAGTACCTGTACAATCATACAGACACACAACACATTAAATTGTGTATGTGTGAATGTGAGTGTGTGTGTGTGTGTGTGTGAGGCCTTTTTGTAGCATTTGCAAGATTTACTCTATAGAAAAGTAAGTTTGTATGTTAGCATTTATAGCCAAGTGACATAGCTAACTATTAGAAAACTAATATGCATTCCCCCACCNTCATTCATTCATTTATATGTTTATATATTTGTTTATTCATACATTCATTCCTCACGTTTCTACAGAACTGAGTGACTCTGGGTGGCTTACAATAACAAAAGCAATTTGAACATATTTTTTGTCAAAAAAAATGGAACAATTTTCATCAAATTCATACCAACAAGTTGGTTTAGAAGCCACATTAATGTTTTTCTACTTTCTTGAAATAAAAATTTAAAATTTTGATTTTTCCAGAAAGAATCGGAAATCAGTTTCCATTTTGACATGCAATCACATCAAATATTTTATCTGTGTACTGCTGCCCAGAGCAAAACAATATCTATCCAATGTATTCATGTATTATGGAGGTAGATAGAAAGCTATGACCACTCATTTGATTTCACATGATCCAATCTGGGTCTGTCACTGGGACCAGAGGTTTAGTCTTCCGAGTTTTCAGACTCATGCTAGAGTCCATCCTGAGGGAACTTCTCTCACATTCTGGTAGAACGAAGTTCCCTGAAGATGAGCTCCAGTATGAATCCGAAAGCTCAGAAGACTAAACCTCTGGTCCCAGTGACCAAGCCAGATTGGATACTGCAACATTACTCCTGGGATCTGTATATTTGCCTTCGTTCATTTGATTTCATTCAGCAAAGTGCAAATGAAGAAATCTGTATCTACAGATATTTGGATCTCTATATCTCTATCTGGACACAGTGGCCATAATGTTCATAGCATGTTATGAGGTACATGGCTGTTCTTGTAGCAATTATCTTGCTATGCAGTGCTAAATGGCACTTTCCAAACCAAGACATGAACCTGGGAGAGACAGTCTGAAAAGGTTGTAATGTAGCCCCACCCCTCCTTCAGATGAATGGTAGCTTCCTTTCTCTATTGGCTGTTGTTGAAGTTTGTTTATCCTTCAGCCATTCGGGCTGCTCTAGGCATCTTTTCTTCCTGGTGGACAAACTTTATCATTTAATAGCAATCCGGGCAGAGTTTGTTAAGACTCCTTCCTTTGCTCTGTTCTCAACACTAGTTTTCAACCTTGCCTTAACTGGCCATTGTTACTTGTTGAATCAAAGGTTTATAAGAAGTGGCACCAAAGCATTTCATATCCTTCCAAAGGTGCTTTTTCTAAAAGACAGCAGGAGTTTCTTGGGATTTTCTTTGAAACATTTTCAAATCAAAACCCAATAAAGTCCTGTTGCCTTTTGGAAAAAACCAGCTGGAGACAACCATGACCTGGATGATTGAGAAGCTCCATAGACATCTCATATATCCTTGCTTTTCTCATTTTTGTCTTTCTGCTTTAATAGGCATTCTTCTATAAAGCCAGTTTTATTTCCCCACGAGGAAAGGTGCAATTCAATAAAAATAAATCTGAATGGAAAATATACAAATCTTTCTCTTTTTCCCTACTCCACAGCTGGCTTTTTTTTTTTTTTGACAGGAACACATGGGGAGAAGAAGGACCTTTTTTCAAAGCTGAACTGAAATTAGGAGCTAGAAAATTCATCATCTTGAAAGGAAGAAATGTGCCAGATAAGAAAAAGAGAAATATTTAGCATTGAACTTGCTTCAAGCTTTCCCCAAAAGGAGAATAGGTTAACTCAATAGCAGTTTTTAATTTTAACATGTCATACAGGCTCCTGTTTGCATCGTTTATCATATCTATAAAATAATGTGTAGACAGGCATGTCATCTTTCCTGGGTGACATTTAGGGAGAGACAATCTCCATAGATGTCTTTAAGGGATGGTGCCTTTAGCTCATCTTCTTTCCTGAACGTTTTTCAACAGTTTTCATTTATTCCACGTTTTATACAAATGGGTGGAGAACAAATGCACATTTAATTGAGGAAAAGTTAGTTTAGTTTATTGGGTTTGTACACCGCCCACTCCCGGAGGACTCCGGGCGGCTTACAATAAAAAGGGGAGGGGGATAAATAAGACAAAACAACAATTTAAAATACAACAACATACACAATTAAAGTGGGGCTGGATACTTCAACAGCCCCAGGCCTGCCGGAGCAGCCAGGACTTAGTAGCTTTACGGAAGGCAGGGAGGGTAGTAAGGGTCCGGATCTCAACGGGGAGCTCGTTCCAGAGGGCCGGAGCTGCAACAGAGAAGGCTCTCCCCCGGGGGGGTCACCAGCCGACCTTGGTTGGCTGATGGAATCCGGAGAAGGCCTAATCTGGGCGATCAAATCGATCTTGGGAGGTAATTGGCAGGAGGCGGTCTCTCTATGCTGATTTACACTGTGATATTATCATACTTACACATTGGATTATATACCCTGTGAGGAAGACTTGGGTTCTTTTCTCATAATAATTATCTGATACTTAATAAATCAAACTCAAAAGTTATGGTCTTTGGGAAATGACATC